CTACTTGTGATGCTCTGTTGGAAATATTTACAAGAACTGGTATTCCGAAAATTATAGCAAGTGACCAAGGAACTAACTTTATTTCTCAACTGACACAAGAATTTATGAAGCGTCTTGGATGTCATCCTAGATTTTCAGTTCCACGATACCCAGCTAGTAATGGACTTGTCGAGAGGTACAACCGAGTTTTGAAAAATGCTCTACATCACATCATCTGTATGGATCCATCTAACTGGGATAAGTATCTATTATATTTGCTCTTTACTTATCGCGAGGTTCCCAATTATACCACAGGGGTTTCTCCATTCAAGTCAACGTATGGTCGAGAGATACGTGGTCCACTGAGTGTTCTGAAATCTAGTTGGAGTGGTGAAATACCGATACCCTTAAGTATGAAGCAATCCGTTGTTGATTATTTACAAGAAATTAAAATAAACTTAGAACGAGCAGCTGATCAAGCATCCTTGATAGTATCTGAAAAACAGGCAGCTTATTCGAATTACTTTAATCGTCGAGTTATACCTAAAGAATTCAAAGTAGGAAATAAAGTTTATTTGCTTGCGATTCGTCCAATAAACTTTGTGCAAGATGGACTGGTCCAAGGGAGATTATAAAATACTGTCCACCTCATTCATATACAGTCAAACTCTCATATGGGAAAGTAAGACATGTTCACGTGAATAAAATCAGAAAGTATATCGCTAGAGTAAATGCTGTGGGAGTTATTTTCGAAAACGAAGAAGAATTCGGAGAGATTCATCCAACTCCGCAAGCTTCTTCTCAAGATATGGAAGTTGTTCTCCAAAAACTGCAACTTGAACATTTAACGGGTGACCAACGGCAGCAAATTAAGCAACTCATAAGAAAGCACAAATCGTTATTTACAGGTAAAGTGAAAATTGCAAAGGTGGGTACTCTCATATGGGAAAGTAAGACATGTTCACGTGAATAAAATCAGAAAGTATATCGCTAGAGTAAATGCTGTGGGAGTTATTTTCGAAAACGAAGAAGAATTCGGAGAGATTCATCCATCTGTAACAATTACTGACAATTTTCCTATGCAAAATGCTTCAGAACTTATACATTCAATAGGACAAGCTAATATAATATCAACACTGGATTTACTAAGAGGTTATTGGGCTATTCCTATGGATCCTGAAAGTCGTGATTACACTTCGTTTAAAAACCCATCGACAACAGTACAGATTTAAAGTTATGAGTTTTGGTCTGAAAAAAACGCTGCAGCAACCTTTCAAAGGGAAATCAATAAAGCACTCCATGAATACAAAGACTTTGCCAGAGCATATATTGATGACATTGCAATATTTTCAAAGGACTGGAAATCTCAAATGGTTCATTTGGATATGATACTCACTAAGTTGGAAGAGCTTCGCTTTACAGTCAATATCAGCAAATGTGATTTTGCCAAACCGCAAATCAAATATTTGGGTCATGTAATCGGATCTGGAAAACATCAAGCCGATCCTGAGCAGATGGAAGCAGTTTCCAGATTATCAAAACCGAAGACCAAGAAACAACTCAGAAGTTTATTAGGTCTATGTAACTATTATAGGGACTATATTCCAAAATATTCTGAATTAGTATATCCACTTACTGAACTTACAAAGAAGAAGATACCTGAGGAAATACCATGGAAAGAAGAGCACGACATTGCTTTCGAAGAAACTCAAAAATGCTCTTGATTAAAGCTCCATCGTTGTATACACCAGTTTTGGAGACAACCATTCACCATACATTGTGATGCCTCACAAACAGGAGTTGCAGCATGTTTGTCACAAAATTTGAATGAAAGCAATTATCCCATAGCCTATGCAAGTCAGAAGTTAACTCAAGCTCAGCAATTGTGGTCTACTATAGAAAGGCAAGCATACGCTATGAAAAAATTTGAAACCTGAATTTTTGGATCCAAAGTTGAACTTTACACCGACCATAATCCTTTACCTTACCTGACAAAATGTGCACCGCAATCATCTAGATTACAACGTTGGGCTTTTGCTTTACAAAAATATGAAATAGACATGAAGCATCTACCAGGAGTCTGAACTTTACACCGACCATAATCCTTTACCTTACCTGACAAAATGTGCACCGCAATCATCTAGATTACAACGTTGGGCTTTTGCTTTACAAAAATACGAAATAGACATGAAGCATCTACCAGGAGTCAAAATGGGTAATGCAGATGCTTTATCCAGACTGATAGAAGGATGAATATCCTTTTTTTTTTATTTATGTCTTTTCATAGGACTCAAAAACATTTATGGACAATTCCATAAAGGACTTTAATTTTGGTGGTTAGATTAATTGTTAATTTTTCTTATTTTCTTTAAAGCTTACTGCAAGATATATCTTTACTAAGTAATATTTGTAAAGTTATTGAAATTAGTTACTTACAGCAATTAGATGGTTTAAATGTAGCATTCTCAACTATTTAGAAGTTTTTCTTTAAAATGTATACTTGTAAGTGTTAACTCATTTGTTATGCAAATGTTGTAATATTTTACATTTTCTTTTAGTTGATTAGTAGTTATAATGTTGAATTGTGAGCACCAGGCTTTGTTATCAGAATGTGTTTGGACATCCTGCCCAACCACAATCTTAGGGGAAAGGTGTAGTGCCTGGTCTTCCGAAACTGTAACCCTGAAAATAAGTAGCGCCCTCTAGGCGGAAAAACGGTAAGTTGGAGGCTGGCTTTTGGTGGGAGAGGGCGAATGCTCAGTATGCTAGGTGTGGTAATTTTATAAATTTAACAATCCTATTATTTTATATATTTCTATTTGTACAAAGTGTATATAGTTTACGTTGATGGTGTGAATAAATTAGAGTCTATTAATTACGCCACTGGACATGGCTGGATCTTACAGACATCAAAACCTGCTTTTGCTTTGTAAATCCTACTGAAGCTCCAGAATTAGAAACTTTTTTCGACATAATCAAAAGTTCAAACTTTAATTTTCACAAAACTGCTGTAATAACAACAGCCTGCAGAAAAAAATAAGGTAGAAAAATCAGGAACATAAGGAACAGTACAGTCTGCTATATTAACTGAAATTAAATGGTATCAATAAAGTATAAGTTTAGCCTATTTTAATAGCATCCGCTATACATTGTTGGCTATGTATCATGAGATTGGTGACAAAAAACGAGCTGTTCTGTTAACGTGCACTGAGACAATTAAGCCTGAATTGTATTAGCTTAGTTATTTAGTATACTTATGTCTATTTCTTGAACATGCTTAATGCTTATCTGAGTACTGAATAAATAAACTCCCACACACTTAAGCTTATTGAGGGCCAGCACTAGATATGTGAATAACAAATCAGTTATTCTTAATTGAAATAGCACTAAATGTATTATTTTGGCTTATGAGTATCATTAAAAAAATCTATTTTTAGCACATGGAAAGAAACCTTTGTTAAATTTTTCCTCATTAATATTTCTTAGCACATTTAACTTAAATCTGTAATCATCGCCAAGCATAATGTTACCATAAAAGGTTACCATACTCTTTGCTATTTAATTAGTAATATAAAAAAACTTGTTTTTTGTTTTATAAAATAACAAAAAAAATATTCATTATGCTAAAAATGATGATCACGACAAAGTGATGATTGAATGGGTCAGACAGCATTGCAGTGAAGGCATGCCATAGACGAGTCCAATGCTAATGGCTCAAGTGAAAATATTTCATAAAGAAATGAACTTAGAAACTAAGTGCACATATTCAGCGTTGCATGAGTCATTACTCAGGCATCACTGCATGAGTCATTACTCAAGTTGTCATGTGCTGATAAACATGCCATGATGAAAGCTAAATATAAATAATGATTTGCCAGGTTAATGTCAGGGATATAAAATATTAGTAGGCATAAAATCAATGATGTTTCTATGTAGAATGTTACAGTTTGAGATGTAGATCATTCTGGACATTGCACATTCAGGTCTCAGACTTTGCACTGTATTTTTATAAATTACTACCAAAATGGTATGAATGCACTTGCACTAAATAATGCATTACCAAACAAAAAAAAGCAGCATGCACATAATTGATAATGAAGAATTATAATAAGAAGTAGAACTACATGTATGTGCAGGAGTTTCATGGCGAAAACAGAAATTATACCTTCAGAATTCATACGGGCTAAACTGTGATGATTCCGTCTTTAATAACGTTTCCTATTTTTATCTAATTTTTTAGATACTGAATTCAAATCATATGCATTTCTTTCAACTATAATAATCTGCATTTGCTTCTTTATCAAAGAAATATAAATAGATGAATCTTTAAAAATACTGATATATAAATATATCAAGCAACAGAACAATCAACATTATTTTATGCATCACACAAATATAATTTCTTTTCTATTACACAAATATTAATTTCCCGTTTATACACAAAATATGCTTTCTAGCAACAAAAAAAGATAATTTTCCTCACCTAAATTTAAAACCTTAAATGATTTGAAAGTTTTTTATGTAATGAACTAGATAAAACAAACAAAAAAGGGAATCATTTGTTAAGTTTAACAAATATACACTAATTAGCACACAATTAAACTCATGGACAGAAAAAATAAAAACAACAAAATATGTCTTAGATATTATAACAAAAAACATGCCATTCTATGTTTAGTGTGATACATAAAATCACATTTTGAATAATATCTGTGTGACAGAGTGTGTTTGTGTGCACGCCTAATATTGAAAAAAAAATTAATAAAATATCTTTCAATATAGTTTTCACAAAAACTACCAGCAAGATGCAATATGGAAATTTCTAAATATGTTGTGAAACATACCACTTGGAATAATTTGAACTACAGTTCCCCATCAATCATATAAATTTATGATTAATATTTACAAGAACAAAATTTTACATAGCTAAAATTTTAAGTTCTAACTTGTTCGGCACTGAACTACATTGCGATCAGGAAAATTACGCTGTTCAAGTTCCTCAGACATTTGATCTAAAATACCTGGTAAACGATAGCCCATATTCATTAGCATAATTTCTAAGGGATCTGCATTCATTCTCCTTTGATTTGCAAAAGCTGCATCATCAGAATCCAAGATCTCACGGTCTTCTTTGGAACCATCCTAAGATTGTAAGACACATAATGAAACTCGCAGAAAATACAGTAAATTTAAACAAAGTATTTTATTTTCAGCCTCAGTTAGCATTACAGAAAAATATAAATAAATTTTTATGTATATCCTAATAATACTGAAACAAAAAAGACACATCTGAAATATTGATATAAATAAACTTTATTGTTAAGAACATTACAAGCTAACAAAGAATTATTTAAATTTTAAAAATTTCTTCTTTGTACTGAAATCTCTTTCTCTTCTGCTGCAAATCAGAGAACTCAGAGAACTTTTATCACATATGCTTTTCATAAGGTGACCAGAAAAATGCCCACAGGAAAAAAGCCCACAGGAAAAATGCTCACGGAATAATGCTCACAGGTATAAATGCTTACAAGAAAAAAAGCCCACACAGAAATATGCCCCCATAGAAAAAAGCTCACATGGAAAAATACTCTCTTAGAAATATGCTCACATGGAAAAAAGCTCACATAGATATATGTTCACACAAAAATAAGCCCACTGATAAATAAATTATGCAGAAATATCCTTACATTAATCAATCAATAATTAATCGATTTGAACATCGTACACCTACTTAAAATTTACAACGAAAAATTATTTAAATTATCAAAATATCTATGGTGTGTGTGTGTATATATATATATCAAAAACTGCATAACTTATGTGTAGATTCAGCTGCGATATAAGATTAACAAATGTGCCGGCTTGAATCAGAAAAAATAGGAGGAAGGGAAAAAAAAGAAAACAATATATGGCGAAAAATTATTACAATTTCAATTGTTAAAAAAATAAAATAACAATTAAAAACAAATCTTTAAGTTTTCAGATTTGAAATTACGTCCAAAGGGGCATTTTTTTAACATTTTGTGCGTTACTTTATTTATTAAATGTTACTTTATTTATTAAATATCACGTTCTTCACACTTAAAACCATAAAATTCAGTTCAATAGCAATGTCGCAAAATAATTTTAAAATAAGCATATCTTTAGAATTTCCGATACACAGTTCCGCGTGCTGGAGATAAAAAGAGCTTTTCCCCCGTAGAGTGTTGCCATTGCTCGCTTTGAAATCTTTGAGTTTGTTAAGCAAAAATTTGTTAAAGTTTTACAAAATATGAAATCAACAATAAAACAAATTTCAAATTTGGTCTTCCACATGCCCATATGTGTAGAAGGATTATGTCATTCAAAATTCGATGGCTCTAGGTACTGTTTTATCACAATGAGAGAAATACATGCATTTATGCAGATTTTTCATTATTTAATTTGTTCAAAATATAATGCAGGATTTTAACATTAGGTGGCAACAGTTTGAAAGTGAAACGGACATTTATAGTGATTCAATGCAAAATTGCAAAATGAAAACAATAGTCTTTTGGGGACAAAGCCCCTTTGGAATAATAATAAATACAAGTTACACATTTTATAATACAAACATTTAGAAGAATAAGCAAATAAAAATAATTATTTTATTTAAATTACATAAAATACCTTGTTATATATAAATCATAAATATATATTTCACATAAACTTACTGAATATTAACTAATGTATGTAAATCTCTAATTTTATTATCGATTTCATCATAGTTTCTTAAAAGATTGGTGATTAGCAAATGAAGGTTTTCATATTTTCTTTTCTTTTTTTTTTTTTTCTTCAGTACGTCCTGTATTTACAATAGCTAATAATAAAAGTTGATGGGCTAAATCTTTTTTCAGTCCGTCAAACAAAAACCACATACTGGGATGGCTACAATTAAATCATGAATTTAATACTTTATGAAAGCTTTCGTAACAATTTTTGGTTTTAGGAGATTTTTTAAAGGCTGCTTCATAATGATTCCACACTTCGGTTGGAAACTGCGATCTTCTACAACTTTTTGGCTCCAAACTTAAATAACTACATTCAAATATCAATTTATACAGATACACATTAAAAGTATGCAAAAAAAAATAGAGTAAAAAAAATATAAATAAACTATTGGCAATTACAGGAAAAAAATGTCATACAGGGCGCAGTGGTATAATATATTACAGTACATGCAAAAGTTTACTATAGCTTTTATTCTTTTATATACCGCCTCTGAAAAGGTTAATGTGACCATTTGTCCAATAATTTTTTCAAATGATCAAATAATGTTTTTAAAAAATTCAAGTAGTTGTACAATGTTCAAATCAATTAATTATTCATTGATTAATGTAAGGGTATTTCTACATATTTTATTTATCCGTGGGCTTATTTCCATGTGAGCATATATCAATGAGAGCTTTTTTCCATGTGAGCATATTTCTAAGTGAGCATTTTTCCATGTGAGTTTTTTTCCTACGTAGGCATATTTCTGTGTGGGCTTTTTTCCTGTAGGCATTTGTACCTGTGATCATTATTCTGTGAGCATTATTCTTGTGGGCTTTTTTCCTAGAAACTTTTAATAAATAACTTCTAATAAACTCTGTTCCTAATAAAACTCCCTTTTGATATTTTTATAAAGTCTTCTGAATAAGTAAAAATTTTCATTAAGTACTTTGCTGTAATTAATTACCCAATATTTCACTTCACTGTCCATATACACTTCTTCCTGTAAAAAATGAGTTAATATTCATTTTAAAACCACCTTACATATTTTATTTGAACTTCCAAAGTAAATTCCTATTTTTCTTTTCCCTTTTGATGACAACTGATCTTACCACATTGATGATTGCATTCTAGATTTAAAATGAAATCTTCAAATAAGACATTGAATTAAACCATCAAAATCGATAAATTTGCCATATGGCTAGTTTCTAACTATGTTTCTCTATTTCTTCAGACTGCAACCCTAACCCACATCTAAAAAAGAGCTATGGAGTATGAGCTTTCTAATCATTTTGTAATCATAAGATTAGATACACTATGGGCATGACATTAGATAAAAGTATAAATATCAAAACAGTTAGATGGATAAAGTATAAAACTTGGGTGAAATATTACTGATTGCACAATTATAAGTTTCCAATAACATTAACCATATGGGTATAACTATACCTCCATTTACCCATAAAATCAACAATATAACTTATTCCTAACAGTCAATAAGATTGGTGGTGAATTATTATAGTATTTGTTGCTTGTATGCTTTTGACAGTATACATGATTAAAATTTTTTAAAATACAAATACAACAACTAAGCAAAGTTTTAAAGGAAAAAATAAATAAAGCTTTATTTAGGTAAAAATAAGACACCTAACAAATATTAATTTAGAAGTCAAACAACAATATTTGCAAATTATCACAAGACCCGTTTCCATGGTTTTACCGAACCATCAGCCTCAGCTGTCAAAGAGCAAATGAACGAGGTGAGATATAGTGATAAGATAAGAATGGATGGACAGGACTTAAGCTACTGGCACCATCTATTGATAAAACAAGAAAACTAAAACATGCTTTCCTTAAAGGCTGAAGGTAATGATGGACTGGAATTAGGTTAACTAACCAGAACAAACAGATTTCTTTTAATATGAAATGCCTCTAGAAAATCTAATTCAAAAATGGAAGATGTTTTTTTGAGTAATTTTCACTGCAGAAAAGTGGAAAGCATGATTTTCGGGGAAACAACGCCAAGCAACAGAGGACTTCTGTGTTTCCTTTTTTTAACATACACCTCATGTTCTTTAACGTGAAATTTTAAGGGTCTCTTAGTTTGACCAATGTAAATTAAACCACACTGGCAAGGAATCCTGTACGTACCCCAGGCATTCATATCCAGAATAGGATCCTTAAGTATGGAATTCAGAATTTTAATGATAGGAGAATAAATGACCCGAAAGTTAAATTTCTGTAAAATATGTGCAATTTTATAGCTAATTGATGGAAAGAAAGGAATGACAAGAGAAGTCTTATAATCTAAAACAAGAGTGTGATTTTCGGTGTATTGAGATGAGAATATTTTAACTACTTGGTTAATAATGAATCATGCTTTCCATGTTTCTGCAGACAAAATTATTCAAAAAACATCTTCCATTGATGAATTAGATTTTCTAGACGTATTTCACATTAAAAAAACTCTCTGTTCTAGTTAACAACCCTAATTCCAATCCATCATTACCTTCAGCCTTTAAGGAAATTATGTTTTAGTTTTCTTGCTTCATCAATAGATGGGGCCAGAATCTTAACTTAAAATTAAACTTGAGCTGTATAAGCTTCATCTGGAACTTGCTAATTCATATCCAAAATTCACTGCCATTCAACAAAAGTCTTGGTCTAGAACTAAGAATGTGGTTAACTATCATAAAAATGACTTGCATTTAAATTCCAAAACCTTTTTCTTACAGTCCTCCAATTTAAGTAGTTCAAAAAATCTCCCCATCATAAATATTAAGCCGATAGTTAATATTTCTAATGTTAGTTTATCAGAACAAGAGATAATTCTAAAATATAATTTTATCTTCTCACAAACCTCAAAACCCAAAATTCCAAAGATTTTGGCTCCTCTCAAGAAAGCTTTCAAATTCAGTGAAGTGCCAGATACACAGAAAAAAATTATTAGGCATCTTATTGCCCATAATGTAAAATTCAAAAATAAGCCTTAGAAACCAAACCTAAACACGAGAGAAAGAACTACAATGTGCGAAATTCATTCTAACCTGGACATTATCATTTCAAAGGCCGACAAAGGTTGCCAGATAGTCGTCATAAACAAGAACACTTACATCAATGGTGTAACTAAAGTCTTAAATGAAGGCCCATATAATCCGATCCCTAAGAACCCTTAACCTTCAGAGCTCTCAAAAATAAAAACTGTGATCAAATTGTCACAAATCCTTTCGACCAACTTAAAACTATCGCTTATCCCATCTGTAGCAAAATTTGCCAGATATACTCTTTCTAAAATTCATAAAAGTGATATTCCTTTAAACCCTATTGTATCAAATTTAGGCACTGCCTCATACCCATTAGCTAAATATTTTCTAGATTTCCAACTCTACTAGATTTACACCATAAAAAAATTC